CAAATCATGCTTCATGCGGCTAATTTGGGCCCAACCTTGCATCACTCTCTCCTGATAATTTGGGTCCCATCATGTGTTATAGAAAACCACTTTGCCACCCTGTTAAGTGTAGATGTCAATTTTTTGGTAAGAAATAAATTATGCAGGGTACATTCTTTTTAAGTGTTGCATAACATACATGTACATGTAGTTATTGATTAATGCAGTTGTTAAATTATTAGTAAGCAAGTACAGTGGAACCTCTCGGTACGGACACCTCTCTAATACAGACACCTCCCTATTATGGACAGTCTCCAATGTTCTGACAGAATTCTCATATATTTTCTTTAAAAAAAACCTCTATGACACAAAATCTTTCTAATATTAACAACGGACACTAAATCTTGGCCCCAGAGAGTAAATTCAGATAAACTTAAACTCTTTATTACGGACACTTCAGTGATCAAGGTGAATCTCAAATCCCGATCAGGTGAGTCTGCACAGGGTGAATCCCGTCTGGCTGATGAGCTGTGCAAAGTGAGTTCAAAAGCCCAGTCACTTTGCGAAAGGGGTACAGAGGAACATAACCGACTTTTTTAAGGCTAATGAATGAATACAGATAGCATAAAGATCTTTTACACTTGCAAAATGGTGAAAGACGCTTTCAGAATTGTGCTTTGCGTTACAACTTTTCATGCAGCGTTGCGCTGTAGCTTGCGCTTGTACCTGTACTTACTTTGCAGCTGAGATGTACAGTGTTGCATGCTACTGAAAGACAGTGCCTTTATACTGTGAATTAAGAAATTTAAATGAAGTTTAAAGACGAGTGTGAGCCTGGTTCTAGCTACTGAACACTTAAAACTGTAAGTGGAGTGATGAAAAGTCATAAAAGTGACATCATCGTAGTGACCTCTCATATACGGACACCACTCTAATACGGACACTTCGCTCTGTCCCTTCAGTGTCTGTATTAGAGAGGTTCAACTGTAGTCAGTTTAATAACAGGGTTTCCACATTAAGTACCAATTGAGTGTCCTTTGCAGAATCTAGCAATAGTTTGCTTTAAACATTGATCAAATTTGGTGTAATCAATTACTTGATGTCCAACAAGTTTCTCAATTACTTTGGAAAGAACCAGCAGTACTGTTATCGGTCTGAAAAAACTTTCCTCTGATGATTCTAATTTCTGTAGTATTTTTTTCAATAATTTATATATATTAGTTTTATTTTCCAAAGTATTTTTGGCTGAAATATTACATGTATGGCTTGCATAAAAAAAGAAACTCTTTCAATTTAGACACTTTCTACATGAGTGGGCCTCTCAGTATCCATTTTAATGGGGTCGTTTGACTATAAACACCCTGTGCTAATTAAACTAAAAGTATGTCTCACAAAATAATCTCATAGGGGACCAGCTAAGTTTAGCCTTGTTAGACCAGTAAACAATAACATGTACAGTTGAACCCTACTTTTTCGATACCTGCTTAATACCGACACCTTGTTATTACGGACAGTTTTATTTTCTTTGTTTCTAGGGAAACATGAAAATTTCTCTAAATGTAACCTACTTAATATGGACACCTGTTAATCCTGTAAACAGACGCCCGTTTCTTGCCCAATCAAAAGATTCTCACAGAAAGTCAACCTTGCTAATGTGGACACCTGTCGTTATAATCAGATGTGTGCTGTAATACTTGTAGGCCTTTCTTTTTCAAAGGTAAAAATACCTTCAGGTGTCAGCATGTCAATGTTCCAAGCACTTCAGTTAACGGGACAGGATGAATAGACTATTAATTTTCACTTGAAATATATTTATGCAAAGAACAGTTTTGATTAAGAAGTATATTAAAATGGTACAGTTTGTGTAGATTCTTGAGTATAATTTTTTTATCTGGGGATCTTACAATAGTTTTTAACTCTAGCTTCTTACCATATTATTGTACAGCGCTTTGAGCAATTAGTGGATACGGTGCTATATTTAACAAATAGAAAATGTTTTTGTGTTTGCATAGCCTGATATAAACACGAGAGGGGTTGGGAGAATTCTCGACAGTTATGCAAACCCGAGATGAAGACGGGGGTTGCATAACTGTCGAGAATTCTCCCAACGCCTCGAGTTTTCTATTACTTTTATAAAGTAACTTTCCAGAGAAAAAAAACGTTTAAGTCTTTGTATGCCACTGATTAAAAGGGAAATTCTTACCAGTCGCAAAATCTTGTCCACGAAGTCTTGCATGTGTAATCAGTTCTTGTTTTGAAAAAGATGCTTTACAAAATACGGATTTTTCTCGCTTAAAATGTCAGTTTAAGCGAAGAAAAATTGACTCACCTTCTTTGGAACGATTTTCCATGTTTCAGCCGATGAAAGGAATGGGTAAATAAAGTAAACTTGTCGAGTTTTGAACTCAAAAACTTTTTCAAATTTGTGCATGCGTGATTAGCGCGCAAAAAGCCCAACAACTTGACGCCACAACCATGTTTACATACTCTCATGCAAACACTCCTTTCGGCCAGTCAGAGCGCTTGTACTATCTTAGTTATTTTATAAAAGTGTCTATTATTAGTAGTAGTATTATGACAGCATTGTGAAGGTCAGTGAACGATAATTTGACGATGCTTATGTCCTCTTTTATTTCTTTAGTATTTTGCTCCTGTTGACTTGAATAATAATGACCTGCTTAATACAGACACTTTGTTAATATAGACACTTTCTATGGCGTTTTTAGTGTCTGTATTAACAAGATTTGACTGTACTTGCAAACGCAGTCATCAAGTAGCAGTGACAGTACAAAGAAAACTGAAACCAACCTTTAATCCAATCATTTCTATCTAATCTTGATTGTGTTACCAATCTGTCATTCTACCTACCGGTAACATGTTTGTCAGTATTGAATAGGAGCTGTTACATGCCTTCGTTTAGGTGCTCCATCACAATTATTATTCATCTTTGTGAACTACAGTATGGAAAAATGGGAAACTTACTCGTAACAGAAAATATATTTTTTAAACTTTCTAAACTTGCATCATGTTGCTGCGAACCTGGTCCTTAGCCAATCAAGGGAGATTCAAAATGCTAACCAAACTGAGAGGTCAACAAGGTCAATTTGTTAGCGGTTGAATTGTCAACATATTCAAATGTTATTGGTGCACTGACTAAAAAACTTCAGAACCTTTGATTTGATAAATGTTTGGATTGGATAACTTCATATTGGCCTGGTTCGAGTAATCACACTGTGAGAGTGGGCAAATACATGTATGTTTTATTTGTGTCGATGGCGCTGTCACTAAGGGCTGGGGGGCGGGGACAGGGATTTCCCAGGCTAACTATGAAAACTGCCTGATAATTGCATGTACCCTGCAATTTGAAATCTTAGTGACAGATAGCCCTGATTAGAGGAAACAGTATTTAGGTCTACACAAGGCTCTGACATTTTGCTTGCTCAGAGCACTTCTTGCTTGTCTTAGTTGACGATTTTGTTAGAGGATGACTTTCCTGGACCCTTGTCTGTTGTCTTTTGGGCAAGTAAGCTAAAAAAGATACTTGCCCAGCAAGAAAATGTCCTGGACTACTGGACGATACTTTTTTCCAATTTACTTTGTCTCCTAACAGTAATTATTCATGAATTAGGGCTAGGAGAGAAAGTAAAGTGAGAATTAACCTAGGTTTAATAATTAAACCCCAACTTTAACCAGTAACATATACACCCAGGGTAATCTCAACGGAATCAGACATAATTATTTTGATAACCGGTTCAATTCATGCTTAAAAAATGTGCATAGTAACCCTTAGAGTGGTGGTATACACCTTTGGTAAAGTAAGAATGTCAGTTTCTGGGAGGTTACAGCTTGTCTCTTAAGTTAATTAAATGTAAAAGACTTACAGGCGCTTCATACAATGTATATATTTAAGTCTTTCCAATTTTGATTTACAGTTTGAAAAACAGTTCCTAAAATTTCTGGTTAGTCTTTGGTTTGTTAGAGTTTGCATTTTTTTTAAAATAAAAAAGTTCCTGAATACGTGAAGAGAGTGAGAAGTTTTTTCTTTTCTCTTTTACCATTCTGCAGGAGCTCTTCATACAAAACAGTCTCTTACTGTAGACAGCTCTCACGGCTCTCTCTGGTTGAGGTTTTATTATCAAAAGATTTAAAAGGCCATACAGAATTCAAGAGTACTGGTGACTTGAGGAGTAAGCTGGTGAAGTCCTAGCCAGTGGATGCTGCATTAGCTGAGGCAGGTAAGAGCACTAAGTGCTACAGGGGAGATCATGGGACATGGATCCTCATGGGTGGTTACCGGTGTTGAGGTGTAAATGTGATAAAAACGATCCTGTTATTTTTGCACTGAAGTTGTCATTTGATTATATCAGGAGCCCATCATTTCAAAGCATATCCTTTTTGTACCGATAAGAGTCGCAATACAAAGACTTGAAACCATTTTTCTTAATCCTTTTGGTACAAAATGTCCACAAAATCTAATATAAATCGCAGTGAAAACTCCTTTTGCTTGACATTTGTGATTCTTCACCGTTGTTACTGGAAATCGCTCTCTGCTCTGATTGGCTCTGATTTGGTGTGAAAGGTCATTATATAAATAGCCTGAAAAGCCAAACGTGCTAGACCCACTTCTTTTGTTAGTTGGATGCTCTGAGGTGACGGGTACCTCCTGGTATGGTATAAGTAGTGGGTGGACTTGCCCCTTAGACAAGTACACGTTAAGTACAGTTGTAACTAGTGAAAGACATGTCAGTTGTTCAATAAAGCCTGAAAAACAATAAGGCTTGCGCGGGATTCGAACCCATGGCCTTAGCGATACCTGAAAGCAGAACTTTTATCACTGAGCCATCAAGCCAGCTGAAATCTGATGGTCGCTCTCTCAGTTCGTAATATACTCGTCGAAGATGAAGATATGAAAGTGAATAGTGAATGGCAGCTGAAGATGCTGTAAGCATTTTAATAATCTTTCAATCCGCCATTAACATATGCACATGATTTTCTTTTAAGGTGCCGGCCACTCGCTGGTCATGGCATCCACTTCACAGCAGTCTCAGGAACAAGACCTAGTTGATGACTCCAAAAAAGTTAAAGTTACCATTTTGGCTTCAGAATGGGGGTCAAGCAATGGAGGAATTGGCACGTTAAGCAAAGAGTTGGCCGTACAGCTTGCCAAATTTCCTGAGTCGGAAATTACTACCTTTTTAGTAAGATGCAGTGAAGAGGATGAGAAGGAAGCCCTCAGGAACAACGTTAAAATTGTTAAGGCGACAAGGTGTCCTGGCTTTGATGAATCAGTATGGCTTAACTACCCTCCAGAACATTTGGAGATGGATGTTGTCGTTGGTTATGGTGTGGAACTCGGCCGCCATGCACAAATCATTAAAAAGTCCAAAAATTGCAAGTGGGTTCAAGTGGTACACACCGATCCCGAGGAAACAGAAATGTTCAAGTCCTACTGCAACCAAACGGTGGAAGGTAAAGGAAATCACAACGTCGAAGTGGAACTATGCGAAATGGCGGATTTGGTTGTGGGGGTTGGACCCAAGTTGTGCGAGGCTTTTAGGTCATATCTCCGCAGCTGTCAGAAAGATCACAATGTCGTCGAATTCACCCCAGGCGTTTTTCATGAATTTGCAACTGTAAAACAAAGTCCGAATGAGAGGAAACATTGCAAAGTCTTGGTGTTTGGTTGTGGAGATGAAGACGACTTTTCTTTGAAAGGTTGTGACATCGCAGGAAAAGCTGTCGCTTTACTGCCAGAGACTCGTCAGGTGTTTGCTGGGGTGCCAGATGTTATGCGCAACAAAATTGCACAAAAGTTGAAAGGATGTGGTGTCTCTGCCAGATTCGTAAATGTAAGAGGCTGTGTCCAAAACCGGGGAGATTTGAAACGCTTGTTTCTGGAGGTCGACATTTTGCTTTTGCCTTCAAGAGCTGAGGGCTTTGGGTTGACAGGTCTTGAGGCCCTGTCAGCTGGTCTGCCTTTGCTGGTCAGCAAGAACTCTGGTTTCGGAGAAGCCCTGAGTGAGGTACCATTTGGATCGTCATTTGTGGTTGACTCTGAGGATCCCCAGGTTTGGGCTGCAGCCATTGAAAATCTATGGAAAAAGGACAGACAAGTTCGTCTTCAGGAGGCTAAAGTGTTGCGAATGCGCTACAAGGAGAAACACAGCTGGACAGAACAAACCAGAAATCTTCTGGATAAGATGATCAGCATGGCTCACGGTATCAATTTTAAATTACTTTTATGAAAATTGTCTTGGAGAAGGGCCGCAAATAAAAAGGAAACTTCAATGATATTCGAATCCACACCCCCACAGTGTTCTCTCTGGGATTTTAGGAAGGCCAGGGGTATTAACCCGTGCAAAGCCCCGAGACGGTCTGGGTAGGGATGCTAGGGGGTATTCTGATTGTGATATTCAACAGTGTTTGTATGAAACCTGCTCTCTAGCCTGAGTAAAAATTAATAAAGACTTTGAAACTTACTCGTGCTGGATCAAAACCTGATTTTTGCTGTATGGAATAACCGATATGAGGAGATTTCCACCACTTTTTCTCGTTTTTTTTTTTACCACTAAATTTTCTTTGACAAGCTTTTTGTTGTCGTTCCGTGCATCTTTGCATGGTTGACCGAGTTCTCGATTTCTTTAAAACAACACCTTAAAATTAAGAATATCTGAAACAACATATGCAGTTATAAGGGTTTCGAGATTTTTTCACAAATCTACTAGTCAAACCAGTATTTAAGTAGAACTTTTCGTTTAAGACACAATGTCCGCACAGGGGGGTAATCATTGCAGTAAACTTTTGCGCACATGCACATGTACACTATTTGGTAAATGTCAACGATATACAACCATAACATTCCAATCTGGTGATTTTTGTTTTTAATCACGTTGCCTTTTCAGAGAACATAACATTCTTTTTTTCTTTCACATTAGATACAACGGATAGTGCTACCTATGTGCAGAAACCAGCTGTTGACAAGAAGTGTAGGGCGCACAGTCTGGAAGACTCCCGGAGTTTTGTAGAGGGAACTTTGAGATCTCTGAACTCACATCAAGGCAAAGTGCAGCACCAGTTGACACAAATGGAAGCTGAAAAAAAAAGTTCTGCTACCCCTTGCATTACTTATGGTAATAAAAACATTAATCTATTGACTGTTTTATATTGAAGTATCGATTGGACTTCAACACGAACAAAGTCGCAGAACAGATCCAGACAAACGCAGTGTTTAATGTGTAGAATTAAACAATCGACTATGTCTTTAATTCCTACTGGATATTTTAAATCTGCCACGCCCAGGCCTAGACACAAATAGCCAGATATTTTTTGGATATTTAAAGGATTTTTAGAGAGTCTCATAATATTTAGAAAAAATGTAACACTTAGAATTTTGTTAAGGAAACATTTTAGACTTTCTCTCAGCTAATTCTTTCATGGATACGAACAGTGAAGGCCTTCAAGGGGATCTGTCGGGAATTTTTGCCATAAGTTTGTTTAAATGACCAAAAAATACTTTTCCATATACACAGAAGAAAACGGGTTTTTTTAGAAAACATGTCCGAGACAACGTCAAAACTTGAAATCATGTTCCCACAAATTTTTCGCTTTTTATGGTTTTTAGCACATGAATTGTTTAATTGTATACATAAATTTATTTTCTACTGAGCTGTAACACTCCTTTATGTTGCCATGTTTCGTAAATCCTCGCGTTATTACGTCTTTTATTTCTCTTTTCAGGATCGGCGTCTTGCATTATGCGTTATTTGCAGGGGTCTTTTTTTCAACCATGTTTTTTCTCAGGCAAATTGAGAAAGAAAGCTACTTCAGTGCTAATTAGGGCGTGGGCAGTACAGTGACAGCCCCCCATATTGGCCGGCAGTAATCAGATTAAGCAGCATTCTCCATTTATTATAATATATGCCATTTGGCTTATGTTAGCTTTAGCCTGTTCAACAAAATGGCGGATGATAAAAGGGCTCATGCAGTGATTACAGTTCCAGATAACGGACCTGGGGCTCGTTTCTCGAAAGTCGTGGTAACTTTTCGGGCCCGAAATCAAATTTTCAAATCGAAATATAAAGAATAAAAGCGACGGTCCTGGCTAGCCTTTTGTTTCATTAACTGATAGTTTTATCATGTTAGATGCAAAACTATTGAAACCTCAATCTTTAATGTTAACGGAGACAGCTTACCGGGCACGTTAATTATCGGGACTTTCGAGAAACGGGCCCCTGAACCTCAATCTGAGTCGCGCTGTCACGCCATTTTAAAAGACAGGCTACCTTTTGAGTTTAATACTAATGTTTATGAAAACAAAGCAGATATACAGGGGAGATTTTGAATGTTTTCGAGTTATTGAGAGAAAAATTAGAAATTAAAAAAACATTGGGAATTTACGGAAACATATTCAGGCAATTTGTTCGGGATATTTGTGTCTAGGTCTAGCCACGTCCTTTTTCATTACATTTACCACCATTTCCTGTTGTACTGCTGTGTTTAGGTATGAAAAAGCTTAAACAAAACTAAACAGGAGAAAAGGTTCCTCTTTAACTATTTGCGGGCAGAGATGGAAAAATGATGTGTATGAAATTAAGTATAGTGTGTGTGAGTGTATCACCAGCTAATCAATTCTTTTTTAATGCAGAGATTGCAAACTGTGAAAGAGACATCAAGTTTTTTGCCGAACGCCAGGATAAAGATACTAGGCAGTGGCTGTTTCAGGATTTTGAGGACTGGTTCAGTAATCCGCGAGAAAACTCCAAAGCCTATGTTCTTCTTGGTGATGCAGGAGTCGGCAAAAGTGTTATGGCAGGAGCTCTAGCAAAGCGTACGAGGGAAGCGGGGAATTTAGGGGCAGCTTATTTTTGCCGTCATAATGACCGTACTAGAAATGATCCCAGAAATCTTCTTGGGACCATAGCTTTTCAACTCTGTGATTGCATCAGTGAGTACAATCATATAATGGGGGGGAAGGATGGGGTAAGAATAATGTTAGCTAATTCTAATTTAGGGGTTCTGGAACTATGTACGAAATTATTAGAAGAGCCACTAGGTAAGTGCCGCCAAATTTTACAGCGTAAATTAGTAATCATTGATGCTCTGGACGAGACCAATTATAAGTCCAGGGATGATTTTCTTCGTCTTATAACAGAGCGTTTCCCCCGGCTGCCCCAAGGGCTTTATTTTTTTATCACCAGTCGCCCTGAAGACACGGTGCAAAGCGGATTGGAGGGGTACAACCCTTGTGTTAGAATTTTTACAGGGAACAGTGGGCAGAACAGCTTCTATCAGCTGCATGAACAGGATATTCAGCGGTTTTTAGAAAAGCGAGTAGACTTCTCTAATCATCCATTCTCGGCGGAAGATGCTCAGAAGATGTGTAATGGGCTGTTCCTATATGCGCACTACATTTCGCAATTACTTAACGATCCAGTCTTCACACTTAGAGCGGTTTCCTTCGTGCGACCTTGGAAAGTTTTTTAGGACGAATTTACAGCGTGTTTACGATAAAGTGGGGGGAAATCTGAATAGGAAGCTACTAGGCCGTATTTTTTCTTCACCATTTCCTCTCCCTTTATCGATTATTTCTTATGTTATTATTAGAGAAGAATCAAATATTGATGAGCAAGAGATAATTGATGCCCTCTCTCAATTTGTTGTGCTGGAACAGGAAGAGACGGCTTCTTTTCTTCACAGTCTGATTCCGATGCGGTTAACAGACATGAGAGAAGCTCGAAAGTTATATATTGACGATGAATGGGCTTTTGAATACTTCATAACAATTTTGAACGAAATATATCTACTTTACTCTGCAGACACATCGCGACGAAAGGGCGCGAAGGTGCTCAGCAATCGCAAAGGTAATTTGAGCAGAAAAAGGACCCGTTAAGGGTTGTTGGTCGCTTAACAATTGTCCTTTTTTTCGGAAAATAGATTCGGAGTACGGGAATAGAATCCGCATAACTTACTCTCAGCCATCGAGTAATAAGGTGGTAAGGTTGTTTTATCGAGACCACTTTTTTATTTCCCGATAAAAGACTACCCATGTCAGACTAAACTTATTTTTTACTATCTACGGAAGTTTTCAGAAAAGTCTCAATCCATTCTGTACATAAAAGAAGACATTTGTTCCTTTTTTTATCTTTTGTCTTCTATAAACCCTGTTGAGGCGTGAGACGCCTCTAACTAGCATTTATCGTTAGTCATGTGCTATACATGTATTTTATAGTTTTGCTATAATATTTTTATGTGGGTTGTTTAACCGTAAGTATTCTCATAATTTTCAAGCTTTATTACCGGCTATTTTTACGAAAAGGCCGTAAAAGAGATTTTTTTTTAGCTGTAGCTGTACGTCAAGTGGCTACTTGAAAGGTTAGATTTGGATTTAGATTTTCATTGTATTTTTGTACATAGATATCTATGTTGTGTATAATAGGTGAACGGAAAAATTTGTCTGAGATACGTACGTGACTCTTGCAAAAAGATAACTCATGGAAATTAAATAAACCAAATATCAAAAAACAGTCAAAAAGTATCATAAATGATTGTAAGAATAGACGTTTCGAATTTGTAACCGTTAATTCTAGGAGTCATCTTATCTTTTATATAGGTAGCTGAAGTAAGAGTCTTGGTTTGATTGACCGTTTTCTGGAATAGGAGTGCACAGGAAGATTGTTACAAATTCCTTTCGTCGGTTTCTCATGAACAAATGACAAACTCGTCGGTTGCTTAGAGTTATATTATGAGTGCGCGGGAATTGTCATAACCAGGAGTGAAGTGCTGGAGAAGTATTCCCACGCCACAGGTTTAGAAAACTATCTCCGTGGTTTATTTCATGTATTCTTACGTAGGAAGATGGTGAATCGAACCTTAGTAACCTTGAATAGTCCTTCGTCATTGTAGTTCTGTTTCGTTAATATGCAGAAATAAACTTTGATGTGCGAAAAAACTCACGAGTCTTTTTATGCCGTTTCCATAGTAACCATCTGAGTAGCTGTCTGAGAACGGAGCAACGACTCCGTTTTCCTAGCTGCGTCGCGACTCGATAGGGTTTTTCAGGGTTAATACCTCCCAAGTTTGAGCATTAAATACGTCGCCATTAATAAAGATTTGGGAAAATTACCACCACAGCTGTATTAGATAAAGATGAAAATTGGACATGATCAGGGTTGTTATGGCAACGAAATTACGCCATTACTTATTTGCAACCGTATAACTCGGCACTGGTTCCAAACATTTTTTCCAAAACTTACGGGAGCTTTTTTCTCCAATTGCCGCCCAATGTTTGCGAAGTTTGAGCGGAATCTATGAGAGCGTTATGGAGATATTTTGAGATAAAGTTGTTATGGTTGGAAATTGTGGTGTAAGCGCGGCCTGGTAACGAACCAGGACGCATGCGCAAGGCGCGAAGGAAACATGGCGTGTTTGTAGCGAGCTTGTTGGACTTGACTCCTCTTTGTCTTCGTTCGTAGCAGTATCCAAGTGTTAGGCCCTGTTTACAAGGAGGGAGGGTAACAAGGTGTTTACAAGGCGGGTTGGGTTACCCTAGCAAGCGGGTTACCTTATCTGCCTTGTAAACGCTCTGCTAAGGATAACTCGCCTACCCGGGTCAGCTTTCCGCATGACCAGTAATCGTGCCAATATGAGCGGTATTATTCAATTTCTGAGCTTAATTATAAACATCTAAAAAATAAAAAGTTGTTTTCTGTCTACGATGATAATATTTTCCCTTTGTTTCGTGAATTTAACGTGTTTGCCATAGAGAACATCAAGATTATTTCAAATCGTCGACCGTTACAAGGAATGTTACGCATGACGAAACAGGTCAGCAAAGCTGGTAACCCTACTTGTGAAATTTGCCTGTAAACCAGAGCTAACTTTAACCCGCTTGCTAGCGTAACCCTAGCACAAGGGTAACGCTCTCTCCTTGTAAACAGGCCCTTAGAACATGGTATCAGAAGCGGGATAATTCCTCACAGTGCCAGTGAGTAACGACTAAATAGCAAACAAAACGTCAGAAAACACAGAGTCGTCACTATCGGCCGATTCCATTCGACCATGTGCTTGGGATCAATATGGCAGAGATGTCCGTAAAGCCGCAGGAGCCACTGGAAATTTATAGCGGAAATCCTGCCCACTCCTTGGAAAAATGAAGATTACATGTGAAATTACAGCCTACGGGAAGTTCGACAAAACCGGATGTTCAAAAAGTGGACCCTCTTCCTAATCACAACGGCAAGCAAGGGATTGAAATATACAGAAATTTTCATTTCGCCCCAACGACTCCAAGCACCGAAGAAGGCGAAGAACAATTTCGAATTCCTGGAGAAGACAGGAACAATTACGCCACTGTGATTGGCAAGTTTGATGTTTATTTTACTAAGCGTGATCCCCAGTCAGTGTTGAGAGAGAAGTTTTGGTTGTATTTGAAGAGAGATGCAGAGCAGAGTTTTTGACTCGTGGGTAAACACTGTTAGAGAAAGGGCTAATGAATGCAAGTTGTTGAAGGAGTTCCATGAACA